TGCTGGGATCACAGTCAGCATTTGTGGGCTGCAGGGCTGGGGCTTGTGCCTCTAACCTATTCCTGGGGGTCTGTTGTTTGTTATGGTAAGAACATTTGGACATTTGGATTTAGTCTTTACTGTTGCTATTGTTTGGGGGGGCGTGGAAACTGACCCAGTATGCTTAGGGGATATTTCCAGCTCAGTATTTGGGGGTCACTCTTGGTAGTTCTTAGAACCAGGTGGTATCAGGTTTAGAACCTAGGCCTCCCTCATGCAAAGATGCCCACTGGGCTTAAGAGCCGTCTAACCTGCCTGGCAAGCATTAGATAAAGGGTGTAAAAGTAGTCAAGGTATTGTTATTGCTGTTTTCTTTAAACTTGAAATGTTTTGAAACAGAATGTTGGGGTGGTGTGTGTGCACATCTGTGTGTGTGTGTGTGTGTGTGTGTGTGTGTGTGTGTAAAACTATGTACTGTGTATCTAGTACAGATAGCATAAATTCATCTGGCAACCAAAGATGAAGATATATTCAAATTCACTGGGAGTTGGGGACATACAATTTATTATGTGAGGTGGTGTGGGGCTTAGACCAAACCCAGCTGAGCTCAGGGCTTACTCCTGGCTCTGTGCTCATGGGTCAGTCCTGGCTGTGCTCAGGGGACTATACATGGGAATCAAACTTGAAATGGTTGCATGCAAGGCAAGCACCTTAACCTTTGTACTATCTCTTCAGCCCTAGACTTACAATTTTCAGGAATGCAAGGTACTGCTTTACAGTCATGATGGGAGATGGGCTGGAACCCTCTGAGAGCTGAGGTAGACCACAAACACACTGGCTTTAATGATCAGAGTTAGTTAAACGGTGTATCCCTCCTGACTCTGCAGATATTTTGATAGAGATTGGACCCAGGCTGAGGATGTGGAAGGCAAGCAGCACACCTATTGTGCTAACTACCTGGCCTCAAGGTTCTGGATTTAGTTACAAACATTTGGTGGGAGATCATTTTCTGCTTCAACAAATCTACAGAGAAGGCCGTCTCACCGACAGTGTGAGTCAGAGGAGGCCTGACGTGGCCACTCTTCTCTCGCGTTTATCAGATCAGCCCCTTTCCACAGGCCAATTCTTCCCAGATGCCTCATTGGTGGGCTCCTCTGTCTTTTCTTCCTTCACAGTTTCCCTGTCCGGAGGGGCCTGGATATGGTTTTCGTGTTTGCTCTCTAAGTTCTTGGATGATCTCTGGGTCCCAGGGAAGTGGAATCGTCCAGCACAGGTACTATGGCTCTAAGCAGCCCCAGATGGGTGAGCAGTGAGGAGTGGGGAGATGCCTGTGGCTTCCTCATTTCAGGTTGGAATGGCCATGAGGTGTCAACCCTGCAGAGGCATCATGAGGCACACATGGGGCAGGAGAAGGCTCCGAGCCACACTGCTCAGGAGAGACCGCACGCTCGTCTAAGACGAAGGGACATGGGAGACATGAAACCCCCTTGCCGAGAGCCCAAGGGAAAGGCAGACCACACCAGGCTGCTTCCCACATCTGAGGCATGGTGAGTGTGGAGGTATTTCCACTCACTTCCTGCAGTATGTCTGGGCATTTGACCAGGCCCCCCACAGCTTGCTCACTTGTATTCGGGTTTTGAGAACTGGACGGGGCCAGAATTTCTGTGAGTACTCCTGCCCCGCCTCCTCAGGACGCACCCTGACTGCCCCCACCCACCGGTGCCACCAGCTGCTTGTTCGCTCCCACTCACTTTCACAGTCCCTAGAGGTCCCCAGGGAGTCACGGACACATACGGCCGCCGTCATGGGCCCAGTGTGCCTGGGGTGGGGCACGGGGGAATATCAGCGGCTGGAAACTTTCATCAAGAGGGACAGTTAACAGCTGCAGGGACACCTCAGGAATCAGTGGACCTTGAAAAGGAACTAGCTGTAGACTGTGACTGATCCCGTGACCTTTTAAGACTTCTGAAAATGTCCCCTCATTCCGTGGTGGAAAAACAATACAGACCACCTGGAGCCACAGGAGCAGGTCACATGCAAATGCCCCCACGGTTTGACATGGATGGACACGTGGGAGGACACCCCAACACACGGCAAGGATGTGGGGAGCACACACATACACACACACTCAAACACACACACACATACACATTCAGATACATTCTCACACCCATTCTCACACACACACACACACACACACACACACTCAGACACACACTCAGGCTCACACACACTCAGGCACATGCCTCAGTGGGCCCTTGAGTATGTTGCACACCCCACTAATCTCACACATGGGCTGAGTGTGTGGTGAGCACCCCCTCCTCACTTCCTCCCCACAGCTGCAGGCTGGGGTGGGGCTCGGGGGCATGGGCTGGGGACACCCACTCTAGAGATTCTTCTTACACCAGAAGTGGTCCCTTCTGTGGCTCCATCACATACTAGACAACACCCTGGTAAAGAACATTAGAGAACCACCCTGCACCCTGCAGCCCTCCCCGTCTCTCTCTTTCCTTTCCTTAAGGCCTCTCAGCCCTGTCTACCCCCACCCAGGCCCCATATTTTGTGGAGTTGCATATAAAAGGACAGTGTTGGAATTATGAATTTCTGTGGGTTTGGAGGGGGGATTTTCTTTTGAGTCACACCCAGCAGTGCTCTCTGGACTATGCGGGCTGGGGATGAAGCCCAGGCGTCCTGCACGCAAAGCATATGCTCATCCCATTGGGAGCTCTCTCTGCGCAGTGTTGGACTTTTCAAAGGAAGGATTTTACTAGGAAAGCAAGACAGAAGCCAAAACCAAACCAAGAAAATATCTGCTCCCTGGGGCCAAGGAGCGTGCTCAAAGGGCCAGAGCACAGGCTTGCACGCAGGAGGCACCACCCCAGCACTGCACAGCCCCCTGAGCACTGGACCAAAGTAGCTCTTGAGTGATTTTGGATGTGACCGAAGAAACTGTTCTGGGGAGACCCAGAAGGGCTGAGAGGTGAAAGCCAGAAGCCCACAAGGCCTAATTGAGTTCCCAGCCCAGCCCACATGTCAGCATGGGCCCAGCGGCCTGTGTGGGCTTGGTCTCCCCCAGTCTCCTGGCCAGCACACTAGCTTGGCAGCACTATCATCTGTTGTGTGACTGCTAGCCAACGTACTGACAAGGAAGAAGAAAACAAGACCTCCAAACTCTCAGCGAGTCCAGAATCGGAGCACTCAGACCCACGCTGCTGTTCCTGGGCTCCCGTGTGCAACGCCCACTCCCCAGCCTTTCCATTCTCTTCTGCAGCCCCTCTTTTTATTTATTTATTTATTTATTTATTTTTAATTTAAGAAAATTTTTATTAGTGAGACACCATGAGGTACAGTTGTAGACTTACAAATTTTTGTGCTTGGGTTTCAGTTATACAATGATCGAATACCCATCCCTCCACCAGTGCTCATTTCCCACCACCACGGATCCCAGTATCCCTCCCACCCCCCATCCTCCCCATCCTACCCTGCCTCTGTGGCAGGGCATTCCCTTTTGTTCTTTCTCTCCTTTTGGGTGCTGTGGTTTGCAAAAGAGGCATTGGGTGGCAATCATGTTCGGTCTATAGTCTACTTTCAGCATGCATCTCCCATCCTGGGCAGATCTTCCCAGCACCTTTTATTTGGTGCTCCCTTCTCTATCTGAGCTACCTTTACCCCTAGAGTGTGCGGCTGTCCTCCAAGCCATGGAGTAAACCTCCTGGTATTTATCACAGCTATTCTTGGGTGTTAGTCTTCTATTTTGTTACTTTATGTCCCCCAGATGAACGCAATCTTTCTATGTCTGTCCCTCTCTTTCTGATTCATTTCGCTTAACATGATACTTTCCATGTAGTACCACTTCTATGTAAATTTCATGACTTCATCTTTTCTAACAGCTACATAGTGCTCCATTGTGTAAATGTACCAAAGTTTCTTTAACCAGTCATCTGTTCTCGGGCATTCAGGTTTTTTCCAGATTCTGGCTATTGTAAAGAGTGTCTGCCGCCCCTCTTACCCTCCCCAGCTCCCTACTCTCCCCCTCCTTGGTCGCTAGTTTTTCCAGAAATGCAGAGCTGGGGTTCTCTCTCACCTGTCCAGGCAGGCACCTCCCAAGACCCTGTGTCCCGGCACTCAGAGAGGCCACAGGCTCGTGAACAGCCTGGGATGAAGAAGGAAGAGGCCACAGGAGGGGCTGAGGAGAGATCTAGGTATCAGCAGAGACTGACAGCTCCAGGGCTCCAACACCTCCAACCCCGGAGGCTGCACCCTTCCCAGGAGGAACGTGGGAATGAGGAATGCAGTGTACAGTCTTAGCGCTGCTGGAGCAGGAGGACAGCCGGGCCCTGAAGCCCCAGATGTGGGGGAGATGAGAGCCAGTCAGGCAGGAACCCCTTTTTGGAGGCCATGTCTGCAGGGAATTCTGGGATGATGAGGAGGTGCAGGCTTTAGAAGCTATGCTAGAACCTTGCAACACTTTTTTTGTTGTTTTTTTTGGGGGGTAGCTCATGGGGGGCTACTCCCAACTTTGGTGATTGAGGCTCACTCCCAGCAATGCTCTGGGGACCATGAGGTGATCAAGAAGGCAAAGCATCTGCTCCAGTGCTCAGAGCCATCTCTGGAGCCCCCAGAACCCCAGGGGATGAGCAGATGATGCTCTGCCTAGAGCATCTCTGGGACTTGCAGGCACAAAGCTCTGACAACTGACTGGGCAGCAGGAAGGGAGCCCACCCAGAGGGTAGATGCTCAGGAGGACAGTGCTGGGAAGGGGCTTGGGGGCGTACAGGGAAGGTACAGACAGGAGCAGGGTCAGGCCACAGAAGAGCTCCAGGGACCCTCCCTTCCTAGTTGTGCTGTTTCTTCTCCCCTGAGGCTCCGCCTCCTCTTCCTCTTTTGTGACTGGAAATCACAGGGTGAGCTGAGCTCCACCACACTGACTGAGTGACGAGTGAGAGTGACAGAGGGAGAAGCAAGGGGCACTCCCCGATCCCCAGAGCCCAGGGTGCAGGCGGGCGCCAGCGTGTCTGGCCATGGCCGAGGCCATCACCTACGCGGACCTGCGGTTTGTCAAGGCCCCCCTAAAGAATGTCGCCTGCCAACTGGGCCAAGGTAAGGGGGTACCTGGGGGGCACATTCTCTTCTTCCCGTGGTTCCTTTATGTCCCCTTTCCACAACCCCCCCCTTTTCCCAGCAGATGTGGATGAGGACGGGGACATCACCTATGAGAATGTACAGGTGTGCCCGGCCCCGGGGGCCCTTGCCAGCCTGGCTTCCTCAGGACCAGGGGACAATGCAGGTAAAGGGGCACTCAGACATGAACTGGAGTCCCCATACCCCTGGGAAAGGAAGGGGAGTTTGGAAAAGAGGAGGCGAGGGGTGCGTGTCCCCCAGGGTAGGGGGGTATGGGGGTCAGTGGGGAGCTCTGGTGAAGGACAGGGCAGTGAGGAGGGAATCTGGATACCTGGATGGAGGTGGGGAAAGGCGTGGACAATGGCAGGGTGGGGACCTGGGCATTTCCTGGGGCTCCTCTTCTTCATAGGTCCCTGCACAGGGCTGGGCTCCGAGCAGCATCCCTCTCCCTGGCCTTCAGTGACACCCCTGGCCACTGGGCGGGTCCTATGTGGTGAGTCTGGTGGCCCAGACCGATCTGGTCCACTTGTGAGTTGGGGTGTGTGTGTGTGTGTGTGTGTGTGTGTGTGTGTGTGTGTGTGTGTTTGGGCAGCCGCAGCCCCGCTTTTGAAATTGCTCCAGCTCTACCCCTGTCATCCCATCTATGCCCCAACCTGGACACCCAGACCCTGATCCCTGTCCTTCGTTTACTAAGGGACCTCCCCTGATCCCCACCTCCACCCTCTGTATCTAAGTCTTCCCTCCCCATTATCAGGCAGCTCACCAGTGACGCTCCCTCCTTCCCCCCAACATCCACCAAGGGCTCCCTGCCCCCCCCCCGAGGGCCCCTGCCCGGTTCGGGTGCACTTTCCCATGACCCCACCCCATGCCCCCTGCCCCCTTGGTGCACAGACTTTGCCGGGGTTCATGATCTCATGCCCCTCGTCCTCCTCTCCCAGGCCGAGCCATCTGCACAAAGTACGTCCTTCTGGGCCTGCTCCTCGGCTGCCTGCTCCTGGGGGTGGCCGCCATCGGCCTGGGGGTACGCTGTGAGTATGGGAATGCTTGTGTTTCCCACTTACCCCCACAACTACTCACCCCTCCTCCCTGATGCCTCCTACCCTGCTGCCACACCTCGAATCTTGACTGTCCCCTGACAGGTCTCTTTAACTTTGGGGTTTGGGTGCTGGGGTCTCACCGGGCCTCCCCCTGTGGGTTATGAACTCCAGCTTTGTTGCAGGTCATCTCCTCCCGCTTCCTCCAGCTCCTCCTTACTGCCTGCAGTCAGGAAGCTTGCAAGAAGCACAAGGCAGAAAGCCACCCCCCAAAAATTTTCTTTGTGGCCAAACAGATCTGCAGGTGTCTCAGCAGCTCCAGCGGGTGCACAGGAATTTGGAATTCACCAACAGCAGCCTGGGGCAGCAGCTCCACGAGGCAGAAGCAAAACTGAAGCAGCAGGAGGAGGAGCTGCAGGAGACCAAGCAGGAGCTGATCCAGAGTAAGATGTCCCTAAACAAAGTGCAGCAGGACAGTTGGAACACCCAAGGGCAGTTGGACGACTGCCACAAGGAGCGGGACGAGACAAGGGCCACTTTGCAGAGTGAACAGACACAGAGGAGTAGCTTGGAGCAGAGGCTGGATAGCATGAGGGACAAGCTGAGGCGACTCTTCACTTGTACCAGCCCAGGTATGGCCAGGAATCACAGTGGGAGGAGAGGGGGCCTCTGTGAGGGGTGGGGTGGGTCTCTGTACCCATCTTCCTCTCGTTTATCTACCCATCTTCTATCCACCATCTACCACCTCTCTATCCACGGATAATCTACCCCTCATCGACCTATCTCTCCATCTACCAATCTCTCCACCAACCACCTACCTACCCATCTATTACCAATCATCTATCTTGCATTTGTCTGTCCTTCAATCCCTCACCTATATATTAATCTCTCATCTGTCTATCCATCAACCCCTTGTCTATCTGTCCATCATTCTCTCACCTACTTACCCAGCCGCCAATTATGTATCAATCCCTCATCTATCACCAATCGCTCATCTGTCTCCTTAGCCTTCTATTATCTATCACCTCTCTGGGGATGGTCAGGAAAGGGATAGTGAGCCATAAAGAAGCTGACACCAATGGTACACTTAATTAGGGGGAGTCATTGGGCTCTAAAGCCGATCTTCCTGTGGAGAGGGCTAGCCCTCACACTGTCCAAAGCAGCCAACTCACCTGACTTGACCTCAATGCCAAGGCTTTGGGAACTGCCTGAATTTGGATGTGATGCTGGTTGCTTGCACATTTTCTTGAGGGCCTATAGCTTTTCGTCTCACCACATCTGAGGTCCTCCAAACAATAGGCAATACTAATTGGCAGAGGGCAGTCAGTCTGGGGGTGGGTGGGCAAGGTGACCAGTGGTATTCAGGATGGGTGGCACCCACTATGTGGGGGTGGGGTACGGTTGGGTTGCTCATCCATTTTTTTTTCTAATTTGCAGAGCAGGGGACTGAAGCCATGCGAGGTAAGTGCTCTTCACTGACCTATCCCCCAACTCCTGAAATCAGGAACCCAACTAGTTTGGGATAAAGAAGACAAGCCAAGGCAGAGGCAGTGTCACAGCGATGAGAGTGGAGGCAGGGTGCCCAGCTCAAGGGGCTGGAAGGTTTCTGCAGGGGTGATTTAGGGTCGAAGTTAGGATCTGGGGGCATCTTGGTTTTTCCCCTAGACTGAAGACAGTGAAGCTATGTGCAGCAACTCGAACCCCATTTCTCAAACCTTCTTACTGTCCACACCCAGTCCCAGCCCCTGATGACACAGTTGCACCCCAGTCCTGACTCCTTTCACTGAAGGGCCCTTCTAGACTCCACTTGGATGTCCCCCCTCCACCCTACTTCACTCTCAGCGAGACCCCCCCCCCAAACCTGCTGGTTTTCCATTCTGTCAGCTGCCCCCTGTCCTTATTCTGGACTCTGGACTCTGTCACCAACCATTCACGATTCTATTGTCTTTCTGGTGCTCATCCTTGCTGTATCTTCTTGGGATGGACCAAGTGCCCCCTAGCCTGCATCCAGGATTGGCACATGGTTTGGTCATTCCATTTAGTGCCAGCCTCTCAACCTCAGCTGGCCCTTGGCACTGTGGGCAACTGCGCTGGGGTTGACCTACTCTCAGGAGAGCGCCTTACCCCACCACGTTCTTCTTCACACTCAGCAAGATGCTCCATCAGAAGGGAATCCCCTGGGTTCCCACCACCAAGTCTCTGTAGACATTTGCACCTTTTCCCACTGCCTTCACTTCCATTGATAACCTCAACAGCTAGCTGATGTTTTTTAGGATATTTTCCATTGACATTCCCTCCCATTCCCAATCCACTCTTCAAACTGCCGCCAGGATTATCCTCAGAGAACAAAAAGTTGATCATGTATTATCAACCCGACCAGATGATACCATCCCTGTTAATTGCATCAAAGGTTATGGAAGACTCACAGCACTGTGTCTGGGTGCTGACACAGTGTAAAGTCCTCCATCAACTCTTTCTTGCTCTGATCTGAAAATATTAAATTCTTGACATAGCTGAAGGGTCCTTGCAACTTTTCATGGTGCTGAATGCCCTGGTCCTCTTCCATCAAGCCACGTCAATGTCTTTTTATTCCTTTAAATGCCCATCAGTTTATTGCTCTGCTTCTCACTCAAAAGGCAGCTTTGCTCTACATCTAGTGCACCTAGAAAGTGATTCTTGAGAGACAGAAGTACGACAGATGGGTGACAACCATGAGGCAGGTGTGTCTGGAGAACAGGCTGGGGTGCGGGTTTCTATTTCCCATGCAGAGTCAGGAATAAAGAGCAGGAATGAGACAAATTGTGAGATGGGGAGGAGGGAAGTGAAGAGAATTCACAAGTGTCTTGACAAAGTAGGTAAAATGGGGACCAAGGCTGTCTAGCTTGAGGAGAGGAGAAAGGGAGCCCAGCAGCTTGCAGGATGTGAGAACATTTTGAATATTCAGGGGAAGTGTTTATGGGGTGGATATGATGCGTAAGAAGGCTGGTGACCCTAATGCGGGACCCAGGTGAGGCCAGCTAAAAGGTGGGGTATTTGTAGTGGAGAAGCTGGGCACAGTGCCGGCAGCCTGACACAGCAGCCTTGCAGATTAAGAAGTCATATTGAATGGAAAAGGCTCTTACTGAGAATACAAGGGATGGGGGCTGGGGATTAGGCTGGTGGTAGAGCAATCTCATATGTGAGGCCCTGGGTTTGACTCCTGGCACCAAAGCAAACCAGAATACCAGGAATGGCATTTCCAGGGGAGGCAAGAAGATTGCAAAGATCAAGGACCAGCCATGGGTGAGGGTGCCGGGAAAGGGCCCAGGAGAGGCTGTTGCAGCCAGAGTGTGGAGACTTGCTCCCACCCCGTGCTGGGGTTCACCTCTGCACTCAACGTGGCTTCACTTTCTTTCTACTTTTTAGACTCCTGCTGTCCTGTGGGATGGATACCAAGCAAGGGCCCCAAGAGGGTTTGCTTTCACTTCTCACCTACAAAGAGAACTTGGCAAGAGAGTCAAGAGTATTGTAGATCTCTGTCATCTGAGCTGGCCACCAACGATAATTTCTATTCAGTAAGCACACTTTAACGCCCAGCCTCTTGGTGAGGGGACGTAGCATCCAGTTAAGTGGCAGCACACACATGGCACACAGGCCATGGCCTGCCTTTCCCACACACAGTGCTTCCTCCAGGCAGCTCTTAACTGATTAGACTTAGCATGAGCTGACTTACACCTTGAGTCTGTCTCATCTCAGCTGTCAACTCTCCGAGCCGCTTTATAGGTTCTCGTTCCCCCTCTCCCAACTGGAGGGTACTGCACGGGTTGGGGGGGGGGGGGGGGACAGGTCTTTGGGGCTGGTTTCTGGGGATCAGAATGACCTTGTCATTCAAGGCCATCAGAATCCCTGCCACAGTGGGGAGGGAAGTGGAGGGTGAGCTGCATCTGCAGGAGCTGTGGGACAGATCCCTGGGAGTGGCTGAGCTGAAGCCGGTACTGTCCCTTAGTAAAGCTGGTGGGCTTCCTGGTGTCAGTCTTCTATTAGCCTGATTTCCCTTTTCCCTACCCCATGCTGTTTGGGGATTACACCCAAAGGTGTTTTGGGGCCCAGACCTGGGGTTCCCACATGCAATGCTCTAGATCTGAATCACCTGACTTTTTATTCTCATTTTCCACCTCCACTCTCTGCTATCAGATTTCATATATTAGTGATGCCTTATATTCACTGTTGGAGCACCTTCCCAGGCCTGGATTTTGTTGGATTAGCTACAGATACATGAGTTATGGTAAAATGTAAGTTTAAGACTTTTGGGCATTTCCAACTCCACAATTCTTTAAAAAAAATGAGTAATATTGAGCTGGAGCCATAGTATAGTGGGAAGGGATTTACCTTGCACACGGCTAACCTGGGTTTGATCCTCAACATCCTATATGCTCCCCAAGCACCGCCTGATGTGACCCAAAGAGCACCCCCCCCCTAAAATAGTATTTCCATGTTCTTATCCAAATCTCCACAAATTAGCACTGTAATTGCTTGTTCCTGTATTTGATTAATCACTTTAGAGTAGTCTTGTTATTTGTATTATTCCCAGTCTCTAGCAGACTGTGGCAAATACTTTTACTAGGTTTGGACTTTGCCATCTTTTTCTTGATAGGAGCTGAGGATTTTGCTAGAAGCTCACAACTGATGAATGCTGGCATTCTAACTTGTTCATTTTGGTGAGGGGTGGGGAGGGGACATACCTGGCAATGCTCAGGGCTTACTCCTGGCAGTGCATGGGGGAGGTCGTAAGGATTGAAACTGGGTTGGTTGCATGCAAAATTAAAATATCCACTATACTCTCTCCTGCCCCTAACTTCTGTTATTTGGTCAGGTTACCCAACCCCAATGAAACTATCAGTTGAGCCTCTTGGGCACTACTGTTGCCCCAGGAAAGTGAGGGAGCAATGTTTTTTTTTTTTTTTTTGCGAATCAATGCTGAAACAGTTATCATCCACTTTCCCTAGCTGGAACTTCCATCTTGGGTGATCCCTACCCCACCCTAAAGCCTCTTCCAGTGGGAGTCCAGACATGTGACCCCAATCATACTGATGTGGCCTTAGAGAGGGAGAATTAGGGCTGGGATCAGCTTTATGTAGGGTGAGGAGAAGGGAAGGGGCAGGAGAAAGCTTATCCTAGTACACTTCATTCTGTAGGAATGATTACAAGAAGTTGTGTGTCACTATACAAAACTCTTGGAGCACAAAACTACAGCTGAAGTATGATAACTGTGATACCTTACTACCCTGCATCTGTGAGTTGGAAGCTGTCAGACATTCATATATGGAGGACCCTTTGCACTGAGTTGGGTAAGGGGGGGGAGGAGGGAGGGAGAGGGTGGAGGAAAGGCAGAGGGAGAGGGAGGCTGGGGGGATCTGACTTGTTCCTGGGAGTGAGTCATGTCCTGTCCACAGGCTCCAGGGGCTGGATCAGGGAAGGTGTTTTTGTGCCGGGCAAGGCTAAAGGGAGCTGGGTGAACTGCAGGAGCTGAGCTAATGCTGCTTTGCTTTTCTGTTCGGGCCTACAGAGCCTGAGCCCTTCACGGCTAACCTTCCGCCTGGGGTCTGACAGTGTCTCATCCTGCCTGGACAGTGCCAGCTTGGCCAAGAGCAGATCCGTGCCCCACACTTCTCACCAACCTGCTGCAGGTGTGCAGTCCTATTTGCTGGGAATGGGGCGAAGAAGCCTTCAGCAGAGATTCCAGTCTCCCCGAGTAAATGGGGTGGGGGGGTGGGGGTGCACGGGCTGAGTGGATGGGGCGGCCCGGAGCCAGCCAGGCAGCTTTATTGAACTCTTTTTAAATAATTCGCACGTGTTAGTCTGTGTCAGCAACGCTGTGTCTGGGTCAGTGATCCCCGGAAGAGGGAGCCCAGGGTCCCAAGAAGCATGACCCATCCCTCGAGTCCACGCTGAGGTCCCCTACACGGGGAGAAAAGTCGGCGAGCCCAAGGGGGCTGCAACTGTCCAGCACGTGTCCTGTCCTCGGGGGCATCCTGAAGGCCGAAGCTGGAGGCCTGTGCTAAGAGCGCGCCCCGGGGAGCTGCAGGCTGGGCGTGGGGGGCTTGGCATGGTGCCCCCCGGTGACAGAGGAGGCCGCCTGCCTCGCAGTTCAGGTTGCGGTAGCGGGCGACGGCGGGTGTGGGGCGGGGGCACATGGACAGGAAGCCAAAGCTGAAGGGGCCCAGGCAGCAGCCCGGGCAGGGCAGCCCCTCGTCGGCCTCCCGGGGGGCTGCAGGGGGGCGGCGAGGGCTCTGTCCGCTCCAGGGCCGCCGCCCGGGGCAAACTGTGCTGGGCCCGGTCCCAGGGCTCCCCGGCCCAGCCTTGTGGGGAGTTCACCACCACGGCAGGGGGGTTATTGTTCAGGGGAGGTCCCGATCTAGGGGACCAGGGCTGGGAGGCCGAGGCACAAGTACTGATGAAGTTGTCTGTGGCCATGGCCAAGGGCAGCTGTGGGGCTGCTCCTGGGGTGTCCGGCTCGGGGCTGCTGCCCTCACACTCCATCTGCTCCTCGGCCGAGGGGCCGGCCGCAGCGGGGCCTGGGCCGGGCAGCGCTGTCTCCATCCTCCGTGGGAGCTCTGGGGAGGCGGGCAGGGAGCGGCAGCGGCGGGCTGGGGTGGCAGGCTGCAGCTGGATGTCTGGAAGGGTCACGAGGGGTGGCGGGGCACAGGGCAGCGGTGAGGGCGGCACCAGGGGCGGGGGCACCACAGGCTTGCTGGGGGTGTCCAGGAGCTTGATCTTGCCGCCCCGGAGATCTTCCCGTAGTGAGAAGGGGTTGACTCGAGTCAGATTGTCCCCCCAGTTAGGGGGTGATTCTGGCGATGGGGGCAGAAAGAGGTCTGACCGGCTTCGGGAGAGCCGGGGGTCTGGCCTGGGAAGCGTGGCAGAGGGACCCCCTCTTGGAACAGTCCCTGCAGAGAGAAGTCGGGGTGACTGTTCTGGCACCGGGCAGGGCTTCATTCCCGAGGGGCTTTTCAGGTGGCTGGTGGACGAGCTTAGGAAAGGGCGTCACAGGTGCCCTGGACAGGGGAGCGGTTGCATGGAGCCCCTGACTTCTTCCTTCCCCCTTCTGGTTCTAGAGCCAACAAACTATCTTCCTGGGATGCCTCTTTCCCCGCCTGCCTGGCTATCCCTAGTGAGATGTTCCCGAGCTCCAGGCAGGAGCGAGGCAGAAGCTTTGCGGGATGAGGGGTGCTCACGTACCTGGGGCGTGAGTCAGGGGTGCCTTGCTGAGGCGGTCAGGCTCGGGCAGTTGCTCCAGGATCCACTCGAGGTGTGTGGTGATTTCGCTGAAGGGGGCTCGAGTGCCCGGTTCCATCTGATGGGTGGAGATGGGGCAGTTTCACTCAGTGACCGGCAAGAGGGTCCCCAAGTTTTTCTCCCAGTGCCCAGGAGACAGGGCAGCCTGGTGGGATGCTGGAGGGAGAGGGGCATGTATGTCGGGGCTTACACTGCAGCAGTGGATGGCCAGGAGCAGGAAGGGCAGCGGACAGTCTCTGCCCACCAGCGCCCGGAATGCAGACACATCCAGGCCGAAGTCCTGTGGGGGCAGGGAGCGGGGCTCTGTGTCAGCCTTCTCTGGGTCCCCTCTTGGCCCTGGCAGGACCGTTCTCCACCCTTCCACCCCTGCCTGTGGTGATGAGGGGCTGGGCCTGAGGCTCCCGCCCGCCCCAGAGCCCACCTCACCTCAGTGCGAGGCAGGTAGTCAGGATCGGCGGGCACCCGAGCGATGAGCTCGCAAAGGACGATCCCAAAGGCGAAGACGTCAGCCTGGGGGTGGGAGACCCCATCAAGCCCCATCAGAGGGGGTGGGAATCCTGTGTTTTCAGAGTTGGAGGGGTGCCCCTAGGGAGCAATCGGGATCTTGGGGGTGTCTGGTAAGGAAGTTGAGGAGTGTGGGGCTTGTGGGGTCTTGGGGTCTCTGGACGGCCTTGGGGGGTCCGTAGGGCAGGATTCTTACCTTCTCGTCATACAGCTCACCCCGTAACACCTCAGGGGCCATCCAGTATGGGGAGCCTACCACAGCCAGTGGCTCCTTCCGCGCGCCTTCCCTGGGACACAGCAGAAACAAGCATCCCTCTCAGACTCCCCGTAAACAAAGAGGAGCCAGCGAACCCCTTCCCCATTACAAGGGCAATGTCTGGAGAGGGGTGGGGCTGTACTTAGTGAGTGTTCCCGGGGAAATTTGCGGGGGGAAGGAGAAGGGTGTTCACCTCACCTGTACACAGGAATCTTTTCAGCCAGTCCGAAGTCGCCCACCACAGCCGTGAGGCCTTGGTCTTCCCGCCGGATCAGACAGTTCTGCCGCACACAAGCCCCCCACACCCATCATATCCTGCTCCCTGACCCCCTGGTATAGCCCCCAAATTCCCGCCACGAGAGAACATCCCCCCTCTCCAGTGCCCCCTAATCTTGCAACATCACCCATCGCAGCTAATACAACGGGACACTCAGTACCTAAGGGCAACCTTTCACCCCAGCTCCCGCCATTCTCCAAAGCCTGGTGACCCTAACACCTTTGATCTGGACATCCTGGGGACAGGCACACCCAACAATCGTCGACACTCCCCGCCTACCTTGGAGGTGAGGTCCCGGTGGAAGACACCTTTGGCATGCAGATACCGCAGGCCTCGGGCAATGTCCAGAGCCAGGCGGAGCCTGACAGGCCAGGACAGGGGTTCCGGGGAGCTGAGCAGCTGTTCCAGGGTGCCCCCATTCATGTACTGAGTAGCGGGAAGGACAAGGAGTGTCAGGCTTCAGGCAGTACTCCGCGACTTCCCTGCATGAGTCAGGGGACACTTCAGGGGACCCCAACTACCTGAAGGGAGCATTTGCCCTAGGCCCCATTCTTTCAGGACGGCCCCTCCAGGCTCAGCTGTGTCAGCCTAAAGGAACTCGCTCCTTTTCATACCAGCCGGCCGTGGGCCGTGGCTGCAGCTCTAAACAGCACAGAGAACATTTTCACGCCTGCAGAAAGTTCCGCTGGGCAGCACTCTTCCCCAGGACTGGGGGATGGGGCTGCTGAGGCTTTTCTTTGTGGTTTGCCCAAGGGAGAGATCCGGGAAGCCCCCCAGGTGTGATTCCTTAGTAGATGCAACTGGCCACAACCTGTGCTAATAGAAGAGTGTGTGTGTGTGTGGGGGGGGGGGGGGGAGCGGGGAGGATACCCTTTTCCTGGTCCATGCTCACCTCTGTGAGAGCGTGCAGCTGGCCCTGGTGCACACAGACCCCCATGAACCTGGAAGAGGGGGAGAGAGTTG